TTGTAAATATGAGATAATAATAATTATTCAATCATAGCCAAGGCTTAAATAGCAACTTTAAACATCTTTATCCAGAGGCTGATAAAATGTTGTTAACCATGTTTTTATCTGGATACTTTCCTGTATAAATTGACAATAAGGCTAGGCCATTCAATATCCTTGTAACACTCTACTTTTTAAATAAGTTTTACTTCTTGACTAAGTTTTTTGACTAAGTCTCTCTTCGTAAAGTTTTACTTCTTTTAATCTCTTGGTACCTAGAATTAAATCTTTAAAATTTTCAAGAATGTTGGGGGGGGGGGGGAATTAGTCATTGTCACTTTTGTTTAAAAAATACTAGATGGGGGTTTTGATTGATCTTTCTGAAGAGGCTTTCATAATCCAACTCTGCACGAATAAATGTTGAATGCAGAGTTGGAATGATATATATCTAGAAATTCCGAAAGTAGATTTGCAAATCTTAGTTAGTTTCTAGGTAACTTAACATGACAGTAGGAACTGCAAACATCCCATATAGACCAACTTGCTTTCTGTTTGAAATCTTATAAAATTAATAACCTCATTAATAAGATGGTCGAGTAAAGGTAAAGTGATAGAAAGCTTAAAATAATCAGATGATGAGTAATTATCATGATTGATTTGCTTTCCGCATCTTCTAGTTTTTTGTTTTCTTTTACATTTCAAGTCATAGCTAATTCAAAAGCAATATTAGACCAGTTGTAGCGATATAAATCAATACCAAATTTAATCTCTTGAAGCGTGTTTTTTTAATTGTCACTTTCAAGATTCTAAAATTTGGGACATGTCTTATCTTGCTTATCTTGGAGTCTAATTACAATCTAAAAAATTCAATCCATCAAATTTTGGTTAAAACTAAAGTTACATTGAAATAAAATTCAAACATCAACTATGAAGAGACTTTAGATAAAAAAAAATGCCTAGACTTTTCTATTTTTAAATCCAACAAGTAAAACAGACATTAGCTTACTTTACCAACAGAAAGATAATTATTTAAACATGCCTGTAATTTTTGACTAAGGGCACATTTAAATAATTAAGGACAGTCAACAAACCTTAAGAAATCTTTACGAGTATTATATTTATTGCCTATATATCTAATAACGATAGACTACTGTTTAAGGCACAATCAGATGCTTTATCAGCTAAAATTGAATATTATTTACTATTATTGATTTCAGAAATAAGAATCTTCTCAAAAGCCTCACTGCAACCCTACATAAGTTGATTTCGTGCGGTTCAAGAAATAACGGGATATTTTTAGGGGCTGATATTAAATTATCTTATAAGATAGTGTCACCTGCATAAGTTCCAAAATTAAGTAGTTCGAAAATATTTCCTTTAACTCTTTCTTGAGGACTTTCTTATTTTATAGTCTCCAATATTGTATTATATTTGATTCGAATTAAGAATAGAATCAACTTATAAAATCCTCTTTAATTAAAGCTTCAATTTGAAGATTAAAATTTTTTTTGAAGAAATAAAAATGTAGTATTTTAGTTATTTACATTTATAGCAAAAAACAATAAAAATTGTTTATATAGCTCTGTGGCAAAACTATTATTTATAGTATTAAACTGTTTAATAAAATAATGTTTAAGTTAAATGTTATAAGAATTTTAAAACAATAAGCACAGAAACAGTTGTATATAAGTAAACTAGTTACAGTTATAAAAAGCTAGTTATTTTTATTACAAATATAGTCCGTGAATAGTTGAAATATACCTTTAAGTTACAAAAGTTTTGTCAAAACCTTGATCCATTTTAAAATATGGCATAAAAACAATTATATCAGGGCATTTTGAAGCCAAAAGTTTAACTACGAAATTAAACTGGTGAGATATTCAAACCATTTCGTTTTGTAAATTCTTTTTTGCAACATTTAATGTTATGAATGTGAATCCATAGCATTTAGAACAGTCTTTTTTCAGAACATATCCACCATAATAACCAACTTACTAAGAAAATAATAAAGGCGCTTTGCTTATTTGAAAATAGCTGCGAATAAAAAGACTGGGAAATAAGTACAGCCACAAGACTAAAAGCAAATCTAGCCACGGACTACGAGTGTTGACAGCATACAACTTTTGAATAAAAATATATTACGTTAAAAAAAAACAATAATTTAGTCAGCTTATGTCGTAAAATCAGGTCGTTTATGGCTTAGCCACAAACCGATATGCAATGACCGATCTTTTTTTTAATTCCGATTTTTTTGGTTTTAAGTAATCGCTTTTAAAGCCGAATTTACACAGCAAATAAAAATAAACTTATCTTATTTATACTATTTTTATTTTAAAAATATGTTGGAGTATTATATTGTTTTTTATTTCGCTGATTATTCGAAGGTGTAGCCTTAGCCACAACGGCTATACCCTAGATCCGCGCCTGCCGTATACTGTAAGCTAATTATATTACAGTTGTTTATTTAATAACTAACATATTTAATAAGTATTTTGTTTTAAGACAAACAATTTAAAAAAATACTTTTTAAATTAAATACATTTAATAAACAAAGAGCAGAAGTTTACATGATAATAAATGATATTAATAAACAAATATAGCACTTATATTAAATACATAGTTATTGAATAATAACGACATTTTTAATAGAAAATCAGTTGGCCGAAAAATTGTTTGTAAATTCAAATAATGTTATAAAATAATTTAAAATTAATTAAAGTTATAGCTCGTTATACTGACGATAAACGATAAATACTGACGATAAACGATAAATACTGACGATAAACGATAAATACTGACGATAAAGCGTTTTTTATTTTACATGAGTTATTTTTGTCAAAGTTAACGAAAAATACACTCGCGCAAACACAAGCTTCCTTATTTGTGCAGAAAAACAAATAATCTTATACAGTAGAATCCCGTTAACTTGGACCCTGGATAAGCCGGACTTTTACTATATTAGACAAATTTTCAATTCCCCTTGAATTCGTTATACATACCAAAAGCTTCGCTTCACTCGGACATTCGCTAAGTCGGGCAAAATATATATACCCATTCAAAGTTCGAGTTAACGGGATTCTACTGTATATATGATCTTGAATAAAAATAAAACAAGATTGTTCGGTCTTCTTTATTTGTTGCTGAAGCGAAATCCTAACTAATTGATCCAAATTAAGAAGTCAAAGGTTGGTTTTTTAATTTTACAATAAATTTTATTTTATAGAAACTAAATATTCTATATAAACTCCTAAATGTTACGAAATTAGGACCAAGTTTTTAAAAAGAACGTAAACCTTATGACGCAAAAACCATTTATAACAATTTGTCTACATTAGAAACCATCATATGCAAAACTGAAATAATAAAAAAAAAAAAAAAAAACAAGACCAGAAATCTCAGATTTTAAATCAGATAATCAAGTTTAAAAATTAAGAACGTCTCCTGAAACTCAAACGTTCAAGGAGGTAAAAACCGTAAATTTTTAACTGCGACAACGAAATCTAGTAACAGTTGGAAAGCATTTTTTTTTTAAATAATCCAAAAAAATTGTAATAATAACTTTAATGGTTAAGCTAATTTTTATTGATGTCATATTGTTATGCTTTACTCTTTTAAATTTTTTCTTCGACATTTTTTTGTATGGAATTTTTTTGACGATTATACGTTCGTTTTCGATTATACTCTGATTATGTCTGATGACGACCTGTGCAAGACAAATTAAAATATTACGAACGCAACGGTCATTTTATGTTTAACCCTAATTAATTATAATATAAATATTTTAAAATTATTTTCACCTTAACAAAATGAGTTTTACTTTTTAATAACCTGCTAAGGCAAAAAGTGAATTCAAACTGGCAAATTTAAAACTAAGATTTTTCAAGACATTTCTACATTATTGCCCTCCATTCATATTATATTTTTTGTAGTTAGTAAAATGTTCAGAGTCGTTTAAATAAAATTTTTGACAACTTGAAGTCAAGTTTAAATGTCAAAAAACTTGTAAAAAAAAAGTTCTGACCCTATTTATTTATAAAAAAAAAAAAGAATGAATAATTTTTATAAATTTAAAGCAGTCTTTGTATAAATTAAATAAAAACTCAAAATTTTAAAGTGGATTACAATTTGTTAACAATCAAAGTTAATCTCTCATAGATTGCGATCAAGACTGAGTCCTGGGTAACATTCTAATGTCAATGAGCTGAATCAAACTTTATTATTATCAATTCTCTAATAATAGTTATACAAAAGAAAAAGAGTTAATGAAAAAACGATTCTAGCTCTACTAATGGGATTACTATAAATAATGAATATCAATACGCCAACATTTTTGCCACGTCTTCAGCAAGACAAAGCATATCTTAATACAATTAATCTCAAAGTGGTATAAATTTTTTGTTTGATAAATATACTATAGTATTTCGAAAGAAAGAAAACAAGTAAAGAAAGAAGTAAAAAAAAAAAGTAAGTATTATAAAAAAGAAGTAAAAAAAAAATGAAATCGAAAAAAAAACTTGTATGACACTTTATTGTATTTATATATATATATATATATATATATATATATATATATATATATATATATATATATATATATATATATATATATATATATATATATATATATATATATATATATACAGACACACACAAATAAATACAATAAAATGTATTAGCAATCATCAGATGTAACAACAACAAAAAAGTAACGACAAAAATTTTATACAAAAAATGGAGTGTCCGCTTTGATGACATTAAAGTTCTTTATTAGAAATTTATTTTCATGCCGGCTTTTTGACGCAAGCCCGGTTCGTATATATATATATATATATATATATATATATATATATATATATATATATATATATATATATATATATATATATATATATATATATATATATATATATATATATATATATATATATATATATATATATATATATATATATATATATATATATATATATATATATATATATATGGTTGTAACAATAAAAACTTTTTTCAATTTTAAGTAATTGGAAAATGAAGGAAACATTACTTATTTTTGCTTTACTTGTCTGCATCCACGGAAGAAGCATAGTAAAAAAAATAGATATGGAAACTTTTGAAGGTAAATAAAAAATAAATAAATTATTTATACAGTTTTATATATATTTTTTACATTGTTTTAAAACCTATTTGCTGTATTTGTTTAAACCTTTTTTTTTATTTTTTTTTGTTAAAAAAATTTAATATATTGTTGAGCCAACAAACCTGGTTGCTAGGTTCAACAAGGTACCATTTATAAAAAGGAACTGTTGTATCTGTTTTATTTCTATTTTTTTTTTTTTTTTTTATAAAGTTATTTTTTATAAAGTTATTTTTATAAGAAATGGCAGAATAAGTTTTGGACTGGGAGGTATGGACACTATGTTTTAACTTGCCTGATTTCTCTGTAGATACAACTTGCTAAAACTTAATCCGTATTTTAGTCTCAGAATTTGCCGAACAACATAAACATAAGAAAAACTTTAATTAGGAATTTCTTCAACTCATGCATTTATGTAATTAACATTATGTATTAACAAAGTCTTTAATAATTACCCCTAAAACATTTTTTAAGAGTCGTTAATATTGATTCGATAATATTTATAATAATGAATCAACATTAATTAAATATTTGTATTGCTCCAATTCTGAAATGTTAACAATATAATATAATTGCCAATTATTAGCTTCACAGTATTGCATTACTTATGAAATTTTTATAAATTATGAAGACGACGAGTAAAACTGATAAAAAGTATATTATTAGTAATGAATATATATATATATATATATATATATATATATATATATATATATATATATATATATATATATATATATATATATATATATATATATATATATATTAAGTTGATTAAGGTGCCCCAAGAAGTCCTTACGGTCTTATCACAGAGCACCGCGGAAGAGCATTTAATAGGAAGTTCACGCCTCCTTCCCAACCGATGTCGCAAAACTTGACCAGAGGCGCGGTTTGAACCACGGATCTTACGTTTCTGAAGCAAGTGCGCTACTACTGCGCCACGACTGCTCTCTCTCTCTCTCTCTCTCTCTCTCTCTCTCTCTCTTTATATATATATATATATATATATATATATATATATATATATATATATATATATATATATATATATATATATATATATATATATATAACCTTCATTATCATATTCGTCATGACCGGAGCATGTTGAAGACAAAAGCTTTATCTGTACCCCCGTTATTTTGATATTTAAAAAAAAATCAATCAAGTAATTAAATTACTATTTCAGTAAAATATTTACAAATATTTTAATTTTTTTGTTAATTTACAGGCGGGGCGAATAAAAAAAAGCAATTGAAGAGCTTAGTGCTTTAGTCACAAAAAAATGTTTTGAGAAAATCTACTTTGATCAGAGATATAATGGTCGAAAGTAAAGATTTAAAACGGCTGATTAAAGTAGATTTTCTTAAAACATTTTTTTTATGACTTGAATACTTCTAGTATTAAGCGCTTCAATTGCTTTTACTCAGTATTGTTTTGTTTTTATTCACCTAATCTTATTTTTATAATCAAATTTTTTTTTTACTTTTTTTTTTTTTTTTGCATTATTTCCTTTTAATAAATGACATAATTTTTTTTTTCTTTTCAACCTTAATACAATAAAAATAAAAAATTTTAAATATGTAAAAGTGATTTTGTTTGAAAACACGCGAACAGGGGATTACATATTCAAAGATATGAGATATTTAAAGATAAATTTTAAAACATTAAAAAAATTTAAATCAAATTTATAGCCTTTTTATATATGGAACCAATTGAGTTTTCTTGGCAACAAATATGTAAAATATTAATTCACCAACATTCACATTAGTCTTATTTGATGTCATTATTTGTCTAGGGCGCGTTACTCGTTGTTCATTGCTTTAATAAAAATCATTCTTATTTGCTTAAGGTGAGTTTCCACTCATCCGTTTTTTCACGGGAACGGGATAGGAAAGGGAAAAATAATCATGTGAGCATGCGTAGTTTTCCTTCGGACATATTAAAACTTAAGGTGAGTTTCCACTCATCCGTTTTATCACGGGAACGGGATAGGAAAGGAAAAAATAATCACGTGAGCATGCGTCGTTTTCCTTCAGACACATTAAAAATTATACTACGCATGCCCAGGTGATTATTTTTCCCGTCCCTTTCCCGTTCCCGTGAAAAAACGGATGAGTGGAAACTCGCCTTTAAACTATGCATGCCCACGTGATTATTTTTCCCGTTCCCGTAAAAAACCGGATGAGTGGAAACTCGCCTTTATTTCGTGTTTTTTCTTTCGTTTATTTATTTCGTTTATTTCTTATCATTTTTTATTTCTTTATTCCGTTTATTAGGTCGTTTTCATTCTTGTAGTAGTAATAACGGCAGGGCCGGCATCCCCCCTTCGCGCCGGACTTGAGTAACGGCATTACATTTTTTGATAGTACTTTCTAACATTCGGATAGTAAGAATTTTTTTATCACCATAGATGATGGTTCCTCAAAACTATTTGATTGCATCCATTCCAAAAATTAGCTCAAATGTTATAATATGTAGCTGTAAAATTATCTGTAAACTTAAAGCTTTTTTTACATGCATATGCTCAGTGGTTTGAAAAACTTGATTTTTTTTTATATTTTTATTTTTTTGTTTGTTTAAATTTGACGTAATTTATATATAAATTACATATTTTTTAAATACAAACAAGGCTTATAAAAGAAGATCACAATGATCTTATCGTCAGAAGCCTTTTACAAAAGAGAGTACGTAACATATTATAAAAACGCCTTTTTACAATAAAAGTACGTAAAAAATCATATAAACACAATAAATCGTATTTACATAAATAAAAATAAATTGTAAACAAGTATAAAACAAAACTTGAACATACATGAAAATAAAAAATATTATTATTTTGTTTTTTATCACAAGATAAATTAAAAATATTCTAAATTATTTGCAATAGAAAGAATGTGGTCTTTTAATTTATTTTTAAAAACAGGATAAATTCGACTTACCCCTAACTTATCCTGTTTTTAAAAATAAATTAAAACTTCGTTATTATAAATTAAAAATAAATTAAAACTTTGAGTAACTTCGCGAAGTTACTCAAAATAATTTTGTTCCAGAGATGAGCTGCATAAGTGATACAAAATTGATTAAATTTTTTTCGACAGAATGGTTCATTTAAATAATAATTATTCCTCGTTGCTTAATGGTTTCAGAATAAAAAGACCTTTAAAAATTAAAGGAGATAATTCATGGTTCCACATAAAGACAAAAGATAAATTTCTATATACGTTTAGTTTATATATATCTAGGATTTTCATTTGATAAAAAAATATTGAGGAATGTGCGAACCGATCCGCAGAATTAATTTAACGGATCGCATGTTTCTGACGGCGATAGAGACATTGTAACTTGCTTTAATCAGTGCTACCCCAGGAAATAACTCCATAACTTATATAACTGTGGATGAAAGAGTAATAAAGTTTAGTTAAATTAGTTTTATCTAAATCAAAATTTAAAAAAAATCTCAATGGTCAAAATTTAAAAAAAAATCTATAGATATAATAAATATATAAAAACCTATAATTTTTTCTTATTATTATTATTTCTAAATACTCCATTATCTGGGCTATTCAAAAATATAATAGCTTTCATACTTTTTTTTTTTAAAGTCAATAAAAGTATCAAAAAGCGATGAAAAATCGATAAATGAAATTACAACATTTTGTAATTTTTGTCTAAATTTTTAACTATGCATTTATGTATAGATTTTCTTTCTTTCAACAACTGTCATACTATAGAGTTTAATTTGAAATAATAATGATTTTTTAATATTGTTAATATTGTATGTTCGCATGAATTATTTTTGTTTGAAATTAGCATACTATAAAAGTATTTTCTTCAATTTCAACTCCTACCTCCAACTAAAATCCGCATGCATGGACTTGATCAATGTGATCTTATTATCTCAATATACATATATTTTTTAAAAGAAAAATTAGCTACGTATATAATTTATTCAAAGCAACTTTTAAAGCTCCTAAAATATACCTACTTTATGTTATCAAAAATACATCCGTCTCTATTTTCGTTTCATTTTTATAAACACATTTTTTTTTCTTGTATTTGCTACCTAAATTATTAAAAAAATTCAAATATTTATTTTTATTTGATTTTTGTAAAATATTTTAAATATTTAACTAGATTAAAATACTTAAAAAAATGCATATTTTGGTAAAATTAAAATCCATGTAAAATCAAAGTCCGCTATTATAAAACACTTTTTTTATATAATATCTTTAACATCTATTGCCGCTTAATAACTCAGCTGCGTATAAGTAAAATTAAGAAACTTTTATTCATTGTTTTTATACCACATTTAATCTTATCTTTGTTGTTTCGAATAGAAAACTGTAAAACATAAGGTGATTTGCCACGCAAATTTTGCGTGGCAAACCTTCAAATGTTTTACAGCTTTCAATACGAAATAACAAAGATTAAAAACTATTTCAATTCGCCTTTTCGCTATTAATTTTTCAAATTTCACGCGTAAAGCATGATGGGATAACGGAGGCGCAAACAAACCAAAACAATTTTTAACTAAGTAAATTAAAGAAAATAAATAAAGAAAAACTAAGTAAATAAAACATATAAATTAGAAAAAATAAAATTATATAAATTATAAAATGGGTGGGTGGGGGATCATTGCGTCGTTCAAAACTGCAACAACGATAGAAGATATCTAAATAAATACGTTATCAAAGACCATATTAACAGTTTTAATGGTAGTTTGCAACTAAAATTTTGGAGATGCAAGGACGCTAAGATGTTGCCTAAATGGAATTCAAAAATTGGACTTTTTAGAAGTCATTTTAGAGTTTCTCTTAACTCGCCAGTCTGTTCAAATCATTTTAAAATGGGACGACCTACTAATATTTATCCCTACCCCACAGAATATTTAAATGGTTATGATAATGAGCTAAAAAACCGAAAATCTCCATTAAAAAGATCCTCAGAACTCAACAAGAAAAAGTTTGTTGCTAAGCTTA